CCTGTGTCCTGTGAATCTCCATTGTTCCCTGGGTAACTAATCTAGATAGCTTTGTTGGTGCTGCAGAACTTTTTTTTTTTACCTTCCTAAGTAGTGCTGAGTGTACAACATAGTTGTGGTATCTTTATAAGTCTATAACCATTTATTTTTTAACCATGTTTTTTTTTAAAGAAAAAAGTTATCTAAACACACGTCTCTGCATAAAAATATAATTACCCTCAACCATGAATACTTCTTAGGAAAGCTGAGATTATTTCAATAAGTGGAATCAGACTTGAACATTTTAGACGGGTTAAATCAAGAAATCCCTTAAACAGAACCTGCCTGATAACATGTCGTAGCTAAGAGATAACAATCGAATCGTTACATTCAAGATTGATTTTGTGGATACTCTAGCTCATCTCAGACACCAATGGCAATTCCGCATAAGATGAAAATAGTTACCAAATAAAAAAGAAAAAACCTTGTCAAGTACGAGTACAATGCAGGAGAGAAAAGAGTTTTGCATTTGTTCTTTGGCCATAGGTTGCTATACAAAGAACACAATTTTTAAACTGAATCTCTAGGTAGTTACTTAAAAAAAAAAACAGAAATCACAATAAATGCTTGATTAACTATTTGTATTATATAGCTGTGAATAAGTATTTGAACACCCATCTATCAGCTAGATTCTGACCCTCAAAGACCCGTTAGTCAGCCTTCTAGATGTCTACCCTCACTCCATTTATTATCCAACTTAGATACACCTGTTTGAGGTCGTTAGCCACATAAAGACACCTGTCCACCCCATACTATAAATAAGAATCCATCTACTAACATGGCCAAGACCAAAGAGCTGTCCAAAGAGACTAGAGACAAAATTGTTCACCTCCACAAGGCTGGAAAGGACTACGGGGAAATTGCCAAGCAGCTTGATGAGAAAAAGTCCACTGTAGGAGAATCATTAGAAAATAGAAGAAGCTAAACATGACTGTCAATCTCCCTCGGACTGGGGCTCCATGCAACATCTCACCTCGTGGGTTCTCAATGATCCTAAGAAAGGTGAGAAATCAGCCTAGAACTACACGGGAGGAGCTGGTTAATGACCTGAAAAGAGCTGGGACCACCATTTCCAAGGTTACTGTTGGTAATACACTAAGTTGTCATGGTTTGAAATCATGTATGGCACGGAAGGTTCCCCTTCTTAAACCAGCCCATGTCAAAGCCTGTCTCAAGTTTGCCAATTTCCATTTGGGTGATCCAGATGAGTGATGGGAGAAAGTCATGTGGTCAGATGAGAACAAAATAGAACTTTTTTGGTCATAATTCCACCAATTTTGTTTGGAGGAAGAAGAATGAAGACTACCATCCCAAAAACAACTGCTCTGAAGCATGGGGGTGGTAGCATCATGCTATGGGGGTGCAAAGCATGATGCTTTTCTGAACATTGTACAGGGGGACTGCACAGTATTAAGGAGAGAATGACCGGGGCCATGTATTGCAATATTTTGGGGAACAACATCCTTCCCTCAGTTAGTGCATTGAAGATAGGTTGAGGCTGGGTCTTTCAACATGACAATTACCTGAAGCACACAGCCAGGATAACCTATGACTGGCTCTTTAAGAAGCGTATCAAGGTTCTAGCCTGGCTTAGCCAGTATCTAGACCTAAACCCAATAGAGAATATTTGGAGGGAGCTCAGACTCTGTGTTTCTCAGCAACAGCCCAAAAACGTGACAGATCTAGAACAGGCATCCCCAAACTCGGTCCTCAAGGCCCCCTGTCCTGCAGGTTTTAGAGGTTTCCTTGCTCCAGCACAGCTGATTTTAATTGAAAGCTGATTAACAGGCTTTTGGTCTACTGCAATCATTATAACCAGCTGTGCTGAAGCAGAGAAACCTCTAAAACCTGCAGGACAGGGGGCCTTGAGGACCGAGTTTGGGGATGCCTGATCTAGAAAATATCTATGTGGAGGAGTGGGCCAAAATCCCTCCAGCAGCGTGCACAAACCTGATGAAAAACTACAGTAAACTTCTGACCTCTGTAATTGCAAACAAAGGCTACTGTACCAAATTTTAACATTGATATTCTCAGGTGTTCAAACACATGTTATCTTCTTTTTTTTTTTAGATTATGTCTCTCAAACTTGACATGAACGTAAGATGACAATTTCAGACCCCTCCATGATTTCTAAGTGGGAGAACTTGCAAAATAGCAGGGTGTTTAAATACATATATTCCTCACTGTAAGTCCTGAGTGATAAAACAGGCCAAGTACATAAGCCTGTGTAGTGGAACATTTTATGCTCCTACTTTCTTTCCCTTCTTTTTCCTTTTTATGTTGAAATGCTTTTATAAGTCATATTTTTTTCATGGTGAAATAATGTCCCAAAACAAACATGCTTTCAAGCAATCCTAACCCAACCTTGAAAAAATATCCCTGCTAATAAAGAGCTGGCTTATTTCTGAAAATGTAACACTGGGCAAACATGCTTTCTCATCCTACCTGCTGCTCATACTTTGCCAGTCAACAAAATTCTTTCTTTATTCCTAATGCTCTGAGAAACTTTTAAAGACGTTACAGAGATACAAATTATAAAGTTTATTTGTCATTGCTGCTAAAAGCTATATTCTCTTAAGTTACCAGATGTGAAATGACGATGGGTATTTTTTTTTATATATATCTCCACCAGATATATGATCCAAAACAAGAAAGGGAAAATATTACATCCAAAAGGGAGAGTTAAGATGCTTTTTTGTCTACCAGATACCCCAAAAATTGAAAATTCAAACAAACAAACAAAACATTACTGGCCTTACATTATTGGCCATCCTTTGTTCAAAAAGCTTTATAATGTGCACAGCTGTTTGGTGGTAAATAATAACTGCTAAGCTCAGTAGAATTTATAACTTACATTTGTTGTTCTTTGATCTTATAAAATTACTGCTTGAGGGACAGGAGGAAAAATGGTTGTCAAGATTTGAGTACAATGCACAGAGTTTAACCTTGGGTAATTGTGAAAGAGAGGCTTGGATCTGGGCACATTTAGAAAACATCACTATTTCATGATTAATATTTTTTTCATTTTCTGCAGTTTCAAGGACAACAGGAGACAGAAATACTGAGGGAATAAGTATGGCAGCAGTTCATCAACAGGTTTTTACTGTATTTCTTCTTTCTTGCATTTCAACCAAAACATGTCAAACACTAACTGGATTATAACAAAATGTGAAAACTTTAAAGAGTTATAAATACCTCTGCAAGAAAATATACTACACCCATGAAAATATGTGCATATTGTCCTTAATTAAATGTAATAAAAGACCCCCTTTATAATTAAATCATTCTAATGGCTGCGACAATGGTTTAAATGCCAGCACCGTCACAGGATAATTTGATTAAATAACTATAAAATAAAATGTTTTCACTTCTACTCAGATGTGAAATGCACACAAATACTTATGTTTTGTAAACAACTAGGTATTTATATCATGACTTTATTCTCTGATCTTAGCTTATCCTGATGGCCGATACTTTTAAAGGCTGACATGTGCCTTAAATCCTCGTCTCTTTGTCCAGCAGCAATGTAGTGTTCTCTTCCCATTGCTTCTCTAACTCCCTAAAGGCATGTAAGGTCTGTTACTCAGTACACTTCTGACATGTCCCAGAGGAAAGGATGATGCAAGGACACTGCTCATACTCGTTCAGCATCTCGGTCCCTACAGTGATCTCAGTAACAACCATCGCTGCTGTTATAACCTCATGCCGAAAACCTCTACTGCTATTCGAAGCGTTTGCTGGAAGCAGGTTCATTATGGTTCTCAGTTGATGGAGCTATTGCAGTTGGTTTACATTCCATACTCCAGTTCTTTGCTAAATATCCCCATATAATAATAATTGAACTTTCATTAAATTTACCTGTGTATTTGACCCATCCCCTCGGGGAGCAGGGGGCTGCCATTGTGTGGCACCCAGGGAGCAGTGTGGGGTTAAGGGTGTTGCTCAGGAACCCAGAGTGGAGTTCCTGAGCAACACCCTTAATCCCACATATGGAAATATATGGAAAAATAGTTGTGTAAGATGATCCAAAGCATGAGTTGATCCTAAAAAGCCCCTGCTGGAGTCAATAAAAAATACAACATGCAAATGCTGAATGTGTACAAAATTACCTAATGAAGAATTTTTATAGAAAAATATTTTACCTGATCAAGGTTACGTCTGAGCATGTATTTTTCTTAAACTTGTGAATGAACATTAGTCCTCTTTAACATTTATATTTATGCAAAGTGATCAGTTTAAAACATTTAACAACTGAAGTTTCTAAAGAAAAACTTAGTTTGTTATCTAGCACCATCTGGTGGTCAAATGTAGAAACAAGTAACAGATGGCAACTCATTGAAACATAGGGATGCTGGTTAACTGCTTTACTCTGAAAATCTGTGCAGTAATTCATGGTGAAGATAGTGTCCTCGGGGCGTCCCATCTTTAAGGTTTGGGACTTTTCTTTGATTTCATCTTCAATTTCATGCTACAATACACTTAACTGGATTTGGGTAGCTAATAATAGTATTTTAGAGACAATTTTTTGCTTTTTTTCCCTCCAAAAGCATAAGATTTATGTAAAATTTAATAAGATTGAGTCTGATAATGTGAAGATTTTAACAGGTTTATATGTACCGCCTCCCATTTCTAGTGTTTTCTCTAAAGGTAAAGGAGGCAAAAAGCCCGAATGGGGCAGAATTTCACTCAAGTGACATAAAGATGAACATTAAGATGTTTTCTTGCTTCTCATCCGGTTCTCTTTTTTTTTGTCCTACAAACAAACTGGCCATTACCTCCCCAACCAGCTTTATTGGACAGCATTGGCACCAACTATAACTTTATTTGGTGCTGATCCCCTAAAGACAATTGACTAAATCTACATAAATAAGAATATGCACAAACCACCACAAAGAAAGGTCTCAACCACAGGAAAAACTTTTTTAGGATTTTATTCTTTAAATTATTTTATAAAATCTCATTTACATGTATATTTTCATATATATAGGTATGTATATATTTATACATATATATAATATTCACCAATTAACAGTTTTGGCTATTTTCCCTTTCTACCCCGTTTATGTCCATAAACTGATCTTAAGTCACATACCCCCACGTCGTGCGGTGAACCTTGCCAAGGTGGGTGGGTGTTTGGGAACGGTTCTGAACAGAGCATGCCAGGAGAAAGGCTACGGGAACTGGGAATGAAGCAACCTAACTACACCACCAGTATTAATAATCACACAAAAGGTAAGGGCAATATCATCTTACACAATGTCTTGAGTATTTTGGTGTACATCAGACCAGTCATATTGTAAGAGATTGATGTATTACATTAAGATGTCTTTCCAAAAAGTATTTGATAATCTATGAATGTAAACTCCACAGTCAGTTTCTCATTTAAACTTTGAAATAGGGCCCACTAATCTAAAGGCAGCCATCAAGACCATTAAGCCCTTTGTAGTGACCAACACAAGTCATCAGTCTATTGTTTACAGTCAGAGCCACATCAAATGGAGTGCAAGTGGCTATGTTGATGATGTTCTTCTTAGGCTTTTTAAAAAGCCTAACATCTACAAACAAAAACTAAAAAAAAAAATAAAAGAAAAATAACAGATTTATATGTTTCATTAGCTTCACATCAAGATAAGCCATACAATGTATTTATTTTCACTCCAGAGACAGAGTTGTTCTTCATTTGGCAAAATGATCACTCTGGACACATGGCTCAATGATTCTGAAAGTCCTTGTTGATGCTGGTTATGAACTGCAAACAAAGCTACAAAAATACAACGCTGAAACATTTCAAAAGGCTTGGCTGGATGAAAAACAAATTGCACATTTCCCCCCAAAGGTCACAAGACTCTTTGACACACGAGTTTCGCTAATATCCACATCTCTAAAAAAAGCCTTCATTCTACATCAAATGGATATCAAAACGTCCCTTTATCTGTTTTAATATGCATAAAGACAACACATGACTTCGGGTTTGTCGAGAAGAAAATGCTTAACATTAGACAATCCTTCCCAAATCCAATGTCAGTTTTTTAAACATTTAAAGAGAAAACAAATTTAACTTCTTAGACATATAATTACAAGTGTACAATATTCTTTTTTTTAAAAGTTTAAGATGCAATTAAAAAATATCTCTGTTTCTGATATTCTAATTCATATTTTCTAGGTTGCAGAAATGAGTTTTACATTTGGAGCCAGATGATTCAATAATTATTCTGAATAACTGATTGCTAAAACATAGCTTTGATAACATTAAAAAATAAATTGAAATTTATCTGATAAGAGAGCTATACAGTCTTAAGGCATTCAGAGGTTAATCCTGACAGCACATAAAGGCTCAAACAGCCAAGAAGTCCTTCAAAATGATTCAGACTAATTTTCTTATGAGAAGTGACTGAAAATTAGCCCTTGGTAACTATAGATTTTGAATATGGAGAACAAGAGTAAACACTACAGATACCCATTAAAGTATGGGCTAATGTTTAAACCTAGGCAGTATACCTCCGCCACCCAGCTATGTAACAACAGATCTGGCGCAGCTCTGAGTGTTTTACAGCAAAGGGAGAGATTTCAAGAACCCAAATTAATGTAAACTTGCAATACACATGGTGTGCTCAATGGTAAAAATGTCAGTACAAAACATATATCATAAATTGTGAGATGCACAAATCAGCCTTTTCCTAATATAGATTTTCAGTTTTCTTTGAGTAAATTTCAATTTTCTTGATGTATAAAAATCATCATCAGGTTTTTTCACAAAGGAAATAGTTTTACAACCAACAAAAAATACAGGAATTAAATTAACCTCATTAATGTAAGAATTAATGCCTATCCTTTATGTATGAAGCTACATGCTTATGTGTTCATAAACTGAATTGATCATCTGATCACCAAAATAATCAAGGGAAAGTTGTTTAAGTTCCAGTGTCTTACCATTGATTGGTGCATCTAAAAAAAGCAGTTTAGTTAAAATCTAATTACTTACTTATTTGCAAAGCTATCAGTGTTAAATATGTCAGCAAAAGAAGGCAATCCAAGTCTAAATTCACCACAACTCTGAGATGGTGACAGTGCTGCTCTAAGCTGCATCAGGAAAAATGTTTTACCGGTAGGCTTTGCTACTTTCTTTTTAAATGGAAAGAAGCATCTTTATAGGTTTACAATTTACAGGTTTTGTTTTGTTAATTATTCAGCTTATTCTGAATAAATGCTTATACATTGTTGTACATTTTTCAGAGGTTAAAACATAACTACTCAGTTACAATTTACTAATTCAATGATTTGTTCTTCGTTTTTTCCCCCTGTGGATGTTGAGGCTAAGTAGAATCCATAATGTCCAACTGCATGAAAGCTGATGTTCAATCGAGGTAGACAAACCATTGAGGAGCATAAATCTTCATACTGCCTAAAACCAACCAATATTTAACGTCTTTAACCAGCATTAGATTTCCCGTGAACCCCCTGATGAAATATGTGCGGTTTGGGTGTATTAATGAACGGGACACGACTTGTAACTGACTCCCAACTGTCTGACAGAAATTAGTGCCAAACATCTTTAACTTCTCTACTTCACAGCAGCTTTTAAAACTGAGCCATGAAAATACAAAAATCACAAATATTTCAGGGTAAAATTTACAAGGAATATTTTAAATATATTTGTTTCTTTAGGATATCTTCCACTCTATTCCAACATATGTACGACGCACATCAGAGAATGCCAACGGCAGATCTCAGGCCCATTGAACAGTCTCACATTGTCCTAGAGAGAACAGAGTTAATGACTTCCAGTGTTAACTTTTTTTCCAACATTTTTCAAGTTTTCTAAAACATATTTTACTATTAGGCAAGCTCAGAGGTCTTTTCTACACATACATACACACAATCATACATAAATATATAGTGTTTCTATTTATTTATATATTCATATATTAGAAGAACTTTTAGATGAGAAGTTCGGCGAAGAATATAGTGTTCATTAGCATGGATTTTATTTAGAATGAGATGTAATTTAGCCACTTTGTCCAGTTTTCGCCTTGAAAAGAATAAAAATCTGAGAACAACAGGAAACGCAAAAAAAACAAGATGCCCAAAAGCATATGAGCTGTTTAAACTGATGAGAATCAGGGAAAATGCTTGCAGCTTTACAAGGCAGAGAGTAGGCATGGGCCGGTTACAGGTAATGGGTTATAAGGAGTTTAAAAGAGATTTTATAACTACAAAGGGAATTTCCTTAGTTCTGTTCCTACAGATTGATCTAATGCTTCTGTTTTAACTGGTGAAATCTTCAGAGGATCAATTTTTTTTTCAATCAAATCATGAGAATCTCACACCGGCCCATGCCTAGCAGAGAGCAGAGATAATGATATGTTTCTATCCATGTGTATTCCACAGGCCTACTGTCAGGGAGTGGAAATGTACAGGTTCAAGAAGCAACCAGCAGATCAACACAGAAACCAAAGAATTAACTATTTAAGCTAAGGCGAATCAATAGTGCAAAACTACATTGGATATAAGGACTGGACTGTTTCATCGGTACACCAAGTGTGATATGGTGCCAGATTTGAAGTTGAGTTGATGGTTGGGCACAAAGTTGTGCTGAGGATTCTTTCGTGTGCACATATCTTTCGCATATAACCCCATGCAAGAGTCACAAGACACCTTAGAGCAGTTTACGCAGGTGTGTGTTGCACCTGGCTTGTTGCAAAACCCGCATCGTGAGCCCCCAATGCTTATACGCTCTGTGCTCCCTGCCTTTGGCGTTGTCATAGCAACTGACTTGCTAGGGAACAGTTTGGTGGGCATGAGGGGTTTTTCCAACATCTGGGGGTGAGGATGGGGATGAGAGTGGGTTAGGGTTAGGGGGTGCGGATGGAGATGGGGGTGTGATTGAGCATTTGAGTAGACTGACAACTTTTCCTTCACAGGAATGTATCCGTCAAGGGGGCGTGGGGATTTGGGGTGATATTCCTGGAGGCCACAACAGGGGGATGGGTCTACGTCATGGCAAGCAGAGCAAAGAATCATGTCGCACCTCTGACAGGACGCCATTGTGGAACATGCCAGTCCACAACCCTGACACTTCACACTACCGTGAGCTTTCAGTAGCCAGCTATCCCTGGCCTCACGGGGCTCTCTAGATGGTGGTCGAGATGGAGTTTGCCTTCCTACTGTTCCAACGCCACCTCTCTCGGTGTACAAGTCGATGTCGTCCAAGGACGACATATGGTACGATGCGTATGGGTCAACTGGCGGAGGTGACTGCATTGGGAAAAAGTCTGCAACGGGGCTGTAGGAAGGGGGAGCTGCGATAGAGAAAAAGGATGCAGAGGTGCTGGGCCTGATGATCTCATCCTTCATATCCTCCTCTGCATCTACAAATAAAGGCTCCTTCCTAAGGCTCAATGACGCCTTCAAAACAGGCTTGTTAATAGCGGGATGCCAGTGACCTGCGCCATCCGTAACATCCACAGACTTGGATGGGCGGCTGCTTCGTCTCAGGTGGTGGGTATGAGGCCTTTCTATATCCAGTGGTCGAACAGACAAGCGAGAAATATCTGCCCCAAGGCTGTCGCGTCTGCGCAGTGCCTCGGCGCAGCCAGCAGCATCGTCTCTACAACCCCGGCGGAGTTCCAGCGCTTCGAGCTCCGAGGCTGCACCGCGGGCGAGAGCCACAACCTCCCCGAGAAGACGACACTCTGCCTGGGCCAAGAACAGCTCAAAGGCTAACTGGCGGAGATGATCCGAGTCGCCCGGGTGGTCCAGCAAACGGAACTGGGAATCAGGGTCACAGGTATATCCAATGGTACGCATTAGTGTTCGGAGTTCAGCATCAGAAATGGCAGACTGCAGATGGTACACATATGGGCCAGTGAAGGTCTAGAAGAGAAAATAAAATCTGTTAAAAAAAAAAACAATGCATTCACCTAAAATAGACATCAACTCATGATGGCTGTTTTGTAATGTCCTCGCCATGTTTATAAAGGTAGGAGAGACAACTGTTCCCGATATTGTAAAGATAAATACATCTCAGTCTAAAAATGTATAAATCATATAATATTTTATATGTTAGAAATAACACAAAGACATTCTAAACATGCATAACAATAATTTCTAACAAAAAAATATTTTGTTGAAATTTATCAAATTGATTATTGCATATTCATGTAAACATCATATGTAATAAACTTTATCATTTTCTATTTCCAAAGAAAGGTCCTTCAAAGGCTCAGGATACCAAGTTTAGTCTGTTTAGGAGGAAACTGAGTAAATCTTTAACATGTCACCATTTCAAAATGTCAGATAAAAACAGAATCTGTTTAAATGTGACAGATAAGTTACATTTCTTTGCAAAATACTTAGGGTTTTTTTTTTTTATATTTGGACACTGGCAGCTAAAGATGACCACTATGGTGACTCTTCAAGAAGAAAACAACTACACACATTCAGGCTTAATCTCACTTCTATAATTGAAAAACATTAATGTGTCATGGTTCTTTTCCTCCTTATACACAGATCCACATACTCTTCACACAGACACAACAACAGTCTAGGTTTAAACCCTTTTTGAAAAAACAAGCCAATATGTAACAAGTGACATTATGAGATCATAAATAACCATGAAAAAGATCAGAAAAGAAGTCTAAGAATCATGAAACTATTTTAGGCTAAAATAAGAGCCTCTACCAATGTGTGACCTTGTTGTTTGTTAATGTTTAATGTGTAGCTCAGAAACATTCCTGTAAGCCGATATAAAATGATTTTATGGCATCTTTGATATAAAATAAAACCTTTGCACCTCTAAACTCATTACCACAGTAAACTACACTCACCTTTATACATCGGAACTCTTTTTTCCAAGGGAAGAGCAGGAGATTAGTGCAGATGGTTTCTAGAGTTTGGAAGGCCCTCTCCAGGCTCTTCAGGCTGCCTCCTCTCTGGCATCGGAGAGAGTTCTCCACCATCTCGTAGAAACGCACCATGCGGAATCGTTGTCCAGGATCAGGCTGATAGGCTCCGAGCAGAGCCGTGGCCGTGGAGAGCAGGGCCTCGCTTTCCTTGTGTCTGTTTTTGTCTCTGTCCAGTGTTGTGCCATTCCCCGTATATCCCCCCTCCAGACGCTTTTCCAGTGCAGTCACATACCTCCGAAACAGGTCCTCTCTTAACTTGGCATCCATTATTTGCAACAGACTATCATTCAAAAGTTACAGAGAGCCTTAGCCCTTTAGGCACACCTTGAATTTGGATGCCACATTCGAGCCCCATTTCCGGCAAGAATAACTGACTTTGGTACATTGACTCATGCTAAATTGCTATGTTTTGGAGAAAGGAGAACAGATGGACTCAGTAGTCCATCATCTAAACACAACCCCTCCCCCAGTTGGTGGAGCAATGCAGTATCTTGTACGGTTGTCTTTGTATGGACATCTCTTCTTCGTCTCAAAGCATAACTTGTTTCCAGACAAACAGGTCAGTGCAACACAAACCAATTTAGAAAATGAGGATATTTGCTCTGTTAAATAAGAGTAAGATTAATGTGGTTTGAGGTCAATCATCTTGAAGAGCCATTGTCAACAGAAGGGTTCTTTCTCGCCAATCTCCAACCTGTAAAAATACATGGAACGATCATCAAAAAAAAAGGCATTTTTATTGCTCTTAACAAATAAGGAAAGGTCATCTTGCTGCTGGCGAAATACAAGGTTGTTACATAGAGTCATAAACCAATCAACAGTTTCATGGTTTTAAAGGCAAATTTGGGTCCAAACCTTCCCACAGTTTAAAAACTTTATCAGTAGAGGACAAAAGCGGTGCCAAAGTTTTGTGGGATGGAACAGAGAAGTACAGTTTGCCACCTCTGAATTTGGCTCTAAGTGATCATACTGTCAAAAGCTTGGTTTAGAAAAAATAAATAAATTAAATCATGAATCAATCAGTGTCTGTTCTTAATTTGTAATAATGTAGATAGGACAGAGGATCGTGAGAGAGGCAGTGAAATGCATTCTGTGCCTATCCGTAGTTTGAGTGGGATGTCAGGATGCACTGTGTGGGTACCTAGATGTTGTTAAACTCAACCCACATTAATTGTTTTCTTGTTTATAACCGTGACTGATGCAAGGATAGTCACTGTATGGATAAAAACATTTAAGGTGGAGAATATGAAATGTAAAATGTGTAAGGTGCAGCTTAGCTTTGCCTAACAATTCCTTACCCCCCCAAAACATTTTTTTGATGTGTAGTTATTGTATTATACAGTTTTTCTATTTTTTCTCCTGACAATAGGATGTGGTTTCCGTTCTTTGCGAATCTGGCTTTTCCTGTTCCATTACAAACCCAGTGAGAACCATGTAGCGAGCTAGCAAGCACTTCCTTTTTCACTGCGTATATCAGCTGCGACAGCATCATTAGCCGCACTTCAATGTACAGAAATAAATCATCACAGCAACGTTTTCACACATTTTCCATATCAACCCCAAAATACTAACCGAGAAGACCCGAAACTGAACGAAGCAGCGAACGCCCATTCATCACAGCTACCTAGCTAACGTTTGCTTTTAGCTATCAGGGCGTTCCATCGTAACCATGATCCTTGCCTGGTTTAGAGACATTTTTTTAAACACAATGGCCTTATATAACAGCAAATACGTAAGTTAGACTAAACAGGCTTCTATCCGGATAACCCGCTTTCTTTTCCCACAGAAACACAGGTATACCTGTGTAGCTTACCTTAAAGTGTTAGCCCCTCTAGCTAGGTACGCCTCCTCAGCTGTTGAAAATTCCCTTCATCCCAATGCGCATGCGCGAGGGCAACTGTCAGCATCAGGGAGGGATCCACGTGCTTTGGAATAGCGGAAAAGAAGAGGATCCCAGTTTTCTTAAAACCCCATAATCAATGTTGGCGGTCATAGTTACTTAAAGTTACGTTAACTTTAAGACAGCTAAACAATCTCTAGAAATGTTGGATTTATTTATTTTATTTTTTTTTATTAATTTCAATAATTTTGATAGACCTCTCCTATCATGACACTGTGCAGCCAAACATACATATAACACTTCTGAGTTATGTTAACAACAGAATAAATAGGCTAATATTAATAATAATATACTCTGTGAGCTGAATTCCAGAAAATCAAACGGTTAAAACAGGAAAATGGCAAACAAATGATGGAAAATATATAGAATATAACAAGAAGTGCTCTAATGACTGACATACAAAGAATGGCATAAATAACTGGGTTGTAACTGGGAAGGTTTAGGCAATGCAATTCCCTTAGCAAAAAGTAGTATACTTAAAGTAAATTCTATGAAGAATACTTAAGTATAAGTTTAGAAAGTATATCAAACAATGTACTTTTAGTGTACTTGAAGTATACTTCTTCGAACTAAATTGGGACATTTTTAAGTTTACTGAATTATACTTAAAGTATACTTTACTGAACAATAAAGTAAACAATAGTTTAGTCAAGTACACTTGACTAAACTATTGACTATTGTTAAGTATATAAAATATAGTTTAGAATAAGTAAACTCTAAGTGCACTGCTTGATTTTAAGTATAAAATGAGTGCACTTTTAGTATACTTGAATAAACTACTTTTTGCTACGGGAAAGTAAAGATGTAGAAATTTAAATCAAGAAAGTGACTGACAGTGGAAGTAACACTTGATTATAATGTATGTGAGATGTTTTTTAATGACACAGTCATATTATCTGACTACATCTGATTCAGATCAATACATGCATTTACGAAGGGTAAATCATTATTGCCATTAGGAAAATGTTTGTGCTATAATCTTTCCAGTTAATGTGTTAAATTGTCTCTGGAAAATAAGTAAAATCTATCCATTGCAATGAACTATTAAAATTTTTAAATTAACATTTCCGAAATAAAACCATTAAGACAATTTAATTGCATTTTATAACCATGAAAAATAGCCATGATATTCATTCAAATCTGTTGATGTAGTAGGAAATGAATTACCAAAAACACATATACGATTTTGTAGCTATGTCCTTGTACTTCCTTTGGATATTAGCCCCTGTCCCATTTTAACGCATATTTCACTTCTTATTACCAAGAGGAATTGATTTATTTATTCGTGCGGGAAAAAAAAACTTTAAATCTTGAAAAAAAAAAAAAAAAAAAAAAGATGGCTTTTCATAAGGTTGCTTAAATTTCCAAGATAGACAAGCATTGTTTCCTCCATGCATGCCTTACCAAAAAAATCTGTTTTATAAATGTATGATTGAACTTTATCACACTGGAGAAATAGTTTTGTATAGACAATGTTAATTTAAGAAGGTTAAGACTTCATTGTGCATTTTTGTTTGAGTCCAATATTTGTAAGGGCTGACAGAAGTAAATCAGATTATTTAGTGCCACTATTTTAAGGATTAATAAAACTCCTTGGCCACTTTTATATTCTCTCACACAATGTTGGTATTTGCTCCCATTAATAATAACATGTATTTACACTTGGGGTAAGGAAAACAGTAAGTGTTCAATAAAGATGAGTGTTGCACATATGAGTAATAACCGCTTACAAACTAAATCTAATATGCTGTACAGAAGAGGACTAGGGCCACTGAAAAAAAAAGTTAACTGATTTTTAAATATTATTTCAGTTTAATATGGGGGGGGGTTGAATTCTGCCTTCAATCTTAGAATTCTGACTTTAATCTCAGATTTTTGGATCTTAATGTAGGGGCACCATGAAGGAAGAGATGCGGGAGCACTTAGCTTCACTGACAAAGATGTGAGTTGTTTGGGAGGGCCAGTGACACATTGATGGAAAGTGACTGAATTAGGCGACTTTTTACGTCCCGAAGGGGTCCCCGTGATGCTATTTCATTAATGGAAGAGCAGATGGTGATTAAAACAAGAAAGCTGGGTTAGTTTCTAAAACAGCCTGATGCTAACATGTTTGTTAGCTCTCAGAAAAAAGTCAGAATTCTGAGATTAAAGGCAGAATTCTGAAATTAAAAGATGAATTCTGAGAAAAAAAGTCAGAATTCTGAAATTAAAGGCAGAATTTCTGAGATTAAAAGCAGAATTCTGAAATTAAAAGCAGAATTCTGAGAAAAAAGTCAGAATTCTGGGAAAAAAGTCAGAATTCTGAAATTAAAAGCAGAATTCTGAAATCAAAAGTAGAATTCTGAAATGAAAGGCAAAATTATGAGAAAAAAATTCAGACTTCTGAGATTTGAGAATTCTGAGAAAAAAATCAGAATTCTGACTTTTTTCTAATATTCTACTGAAATAAAATTTAAAAATCAGTTAACTTTTTTCATTTTTTCAGTCGCCCTAATCCTCTTCCGTAGTTCTGACAGCTGGACCAACAATCTGCTGGACGCTGATGTTTTCCTATCCGAGCTTGAAGCTCCGCCCCCCGCTCTTAAAAAAGAACCCAAACCTGGTGACGTTTTGTTACAGTGGTGTTGCTGGGACTGGGTGAAGAAAAGAAATGGCGATGCTCGGAGGTTTTAGCTCCGCGCAGCCCAAGAAGAGTGTATCTGAAGAGAGCAGCGACGTGTCGGATTATGTCTGTCCGGTTTGCCTGGAAATTTTCGACATCCCTCTAACAACACAATGCGGTCATACGTGAGTATTCTGCTCTATTTTTCTATCTCCCTCCCCCCACATCCAACCTCTATAACAACGGTGCAACGACACCACTTTAAAACAATGAGAGGTAACGTTAAAGATATTGTTGGAGTCCAAAGAGCTGGGTATGTGTGTTACAGCTTTTTATCGAGACTCTGCTGTTCTAATTTATTAAGATAATTATGTGGCAAACTCCATTATAGCTTGCTGAATCAGTTTCAGTTTTGTTTACATCAAAAAGAGGGGCTCAGTTGGGAATTGTAGTCTTTTTTTCATATGGTAGTGCATGCCAGAACGTCAGTAAAGACTACAACTCCCGTCGGCTTCTTAAGCTCGGGACTTTCCTTAAAAAAAAAAAAAAAAAACGAATGACTCTGCTATCTGTTAGCAAAGAATGATAATTTTTTATATATATATTATTTTTTTTTTTAAGTACAATTTGCCGCTTAAGTAGGAAATCCTGAATATTTCTGTTTTTGTCTCTCTGACTGCTCCATTGTCATGTTTTCTTCTATTTAATGGTAGTTTCTGCCAGAGCTGTTTGCAAGAATGTCTGCGTCCACAGAAGCCAGTGTGTGCTGTGTGTAGGACAACTCTGAACCACTGGACTAAAGCTGCTGATATAGAGGCCGCCATCCACAATACAATTGCAGCTTGCAAGGGATGTGGTGTTCAGGTATGATTATTTAGAAATCCAATTGAACACACTGTTGCTGGCTTTAAATGAATGGCTATAATATTGTATAGTGCCACCAAAACTGTATTGTTTTATAACAAAGTGCTATGCTGTTGTTTCCTCCAAAGGTTGGTCTTTCTCAAATGAGAAGCCATACAGCCGCGTGTTCAAAATACCAGGACTACATTGAGGAAGGTGTTAGAAGCACTGCCCAAAATCAGCCAGCCATCATCAGGTAAGAAATAAGCTTCCCAGTATCTTTCCTGCAAGTAGCTGGAAATTAATTAATGAAAACTTTGGTGGAAGTAAACCCTGCATCAAAAAATGTGCACAAGCGACCTTCCAAATCCCTCAAATCGTAGGTCCTACCTCCTGTTTTAAGCTCCCATAGGGCCGGTTATACTCCCGCAGCAGGGTGTTGCAGTGAGCATGTCGCAGGTATGACGCAGACATTTTTGATTTATACTCAATATTGAAGCGCGGTCTGCGCTATGTTTATTCCACGCCACAACACAAGAGGGGAAAATCACGAACTAGCTGTGGGTCTAGATACGGCCGAGGCGGTGAGGAAATGGGGGCAAGTTTGTCCTACAAAGGAGGGACATGAGGGCGAAAAAGAGCGGGGATCCAGGTGGAAAAAGGGTCCCAGCATTCTCGCGCACCTCATTCGTCTAGCGAGTCCAACTTCACGAGTCGTTTTCCACAATGGCGGTCATACAAACAACAAGCCGGTAAGGTACCAAACAGGAGATACGTATGAGTAGAGCGGATGTAGATTTGACCAATCAGAGGGCTCCTGTCCGCAGCACTGTCTGCAGTCACCTACAATTTGGCAGAGGTGCAGCAGAGTGTCTGCGCAGGGGGCGGGTACGTCTCTGCGTTCACCGCAACACCTATGCAGATGACCTAGTTTTGAAGTATAAATCAGCTTCATCTCTTCACCCTTTTCAGGATCAAGGGCAGTAAGACCACCATCCAGGGTTGCAAAGGAACTCAGGACTGTCGTGCCAAGTCTGAAAAACCTTTAGCCCTAAGGATGTTTTTATTAGACAGACACACAGATTAATGATGCTTCTTAAGCTGGGACCAATGTCTTCTGGAAAGGAAATACACATAGTAAAAGTTGAACATGAAACAAATGGCTGAAGTCCATAAAAAAAATTAAAAACCCAGATGGTGTGCAGATTTGCAAAAAATAATGTAAATAATTTTGTGAAAATCCATGTGGTGGGATGTGTGTGTATGTTGTCATCCAAAGGATTGTGGGCAACCCTACAGTTCCTAAATCGGCTTCTCCTTATTAACTGCCTGCACTATTCATATAGCACCTATCATTGAAGTGTTGAGATTAAAACCCTGCTTTGGGAAGATAAAGGGAGTTTTTTTTTATTTAAGCAGATTTAGCATTTAATTTGGACTTCAATGTCAGAATCTGGAGGAAACGTGGAGAGTTACAATTTGCATATATCTTGACCTACAGTGTGAAGTTTCCTCATTTGGTGGTAATGCTGGTTTGCGCTGTCATTTATGGGTGTCTGTCCACTTAGTTTAATCAAAGCCCGTATGGATTTCTACCAAGATGTGTTCTGACAAACTTTATGAAAAACATTAACAAATCTTCCAGCAATATTTTCCTCCTGCCTAGGCTGCCAAAGGTACCAATGTCTGCTTTAATGACTCCATTATTACCAAAAGGGGTTAACTGGTCAGTGACTCGGAGAATAGATTGAGTATTGCAAAAAGAAAGACATAAGATCCCTAGAACCAGCAATCTAAATAAAGTAAAGGCCACAACTAAAGCAACCAAGGGCTTCTTTACATGAACCAAAGGCTGATTATTTCTAGGCAATGTTGCTCTGATGCACTATTTATGGTTTATGGACTTAGTGGATTACATTTCTGCCCTAAAACAAATTTAATTGTGTTTACATCATTCTAATTGTCTGAGAAGCTGAATTTAACAGAAATAAGCTTTTATAATATGTCTACAGACATTTAGTGTCTCCTTGCTATGTGTGCTGAGAACAGTACTCATGAGGAATAGTAACTGATACCACAGCTGTGTCAAAGGGAAGTACAGCAGAACACACAGAGCTGCACTAGATATCTACACCCTTGGACCATAAAGACATCTCTGCTTTCAAAGAGCTGTTATTTTAAGGGTAAATGAAAGGAGGGGGGCAAAACTTTTGGTTGTTGAGTTTGTGTGAAGTACTTAAAGCATTGACAAGGATTAAAAAATAAATAAAAGCTGGTATTGTTACTTTTTTATTTTTTCCAAAGTTAGTTTCTGAGTTTCATGAATAAAAAACAAAACAGTATTTATAACTCACAATTTTGTTAATTGGAAACATTTATGTATCTTCTTAGTCTCACAGTTTTATCATTATATGTTATTTGAACATTAAAATACCTCATTTAAAGTTAAGTTTCATAGCTATTGTTTTTTTTTTTTAACTATGAGATTGTAGACTTTAGGCAGGGATTGTTTTGCAATCAAATGATATTTCGGTGATATTTTGAATATAGAATAGAATTCAACTTTATTGTCTTTACACTGTTACAAGTACAAAGCAACAAAATGTGGTTTGCATCTATCCAGAAGTGATATACAGGATATAAATATCTATTTACATGTGCACAAAGACTATATATGTATTGACTATAAATGGTATATATAAACAGAGAGTAATTGTAAGAGGCTTTAAAATAAACTACATACAGATTATACAGGAAAGTTGGCATATGTTAAAGCACCCATTATGTCCAAATTGAAAGTCCTAAAGGTGAAAGAAGAAAGTACTGGCATTGGACTGACCTGCCCTTAACAAAGGGGAATTCAGAGCCAGAGTTCTTGACTAACTGGTATTTTTGCTTATACTAAAACATTTAGGGAATGAAGAATGTAACAAGAAGAATTCAGGAATGCTTTCTTTTCTTTGTGCAATGAATGTATCCTATCTATTAACAGCTTTCATAAAGTAACACAACACTCATTAAGATGATTCATTCCTTTTTCTTCTAAAATTCAAGCCAGCAAAAGCAAATTATGAGATGTAAACGAAAAGTGAAAGTAAATTTTACTGCTCAAGAGATTGTTTTTTCCTTTTGAGGTTGTATAAAACACTGCTAGTTTTAGGTCATCTTCAGAAGCACCTTGGCCCATGTGTGTGCAGGCCATCAACTTTAGGGCTTATAGTTAGCTGCTAATCTTATTGTATTCTGTGTATTAATTGTGTTTGGACAGAAAACAGTTTGAATTTTTGAATACAGAGAGTTGTTAATTTGCCATTCATTTTTAATGGTGAATAAAAGTCCAATCACCTTAAAGCCAAGAAGGTAAACCAAAGTAGCACATTTCATACATGAGGCAAATGGAGGGAAGGAATAATGGCAGCACTAAAACCAAATATATTCACAAATGTAAGTGAAATGTTATTATTTATATAAAGGGCCTCTACTAGGTCTAGAGAAGTAAAGAGTTTGATTGTAAAACATTTTCTAGATGTGGTTAAGCATGGAAAAAGAAAGTGATGTGTGAAATGTGGCTGGGCAATATGGCCTTAAAAAGGAAATCATATTTTTTTTTAATATATATTTTAATTTGATTTAATTTTTTTTTTAAAGATTTTTGTTTTGTATTTGTGGCTGGGCAGTTCATCTCCGGGGTCTAAGGTTTTAATCATGTTAATAAACCCGTCCACAGTATAAATGGGCACCATGTCTTTGCCAATGTACAAAATAGCTCCCTGGTGATTGTTCTCCACTGGGTCCCTTTCCTGTCATATATAGTCTCTTGTGCAAAAGATTCAGCAACAGTTGGCTGTTTTTAGCTGAGGTGTGTTGGCCAGGGCAATTTTTCATATTTCATACCTTTGTTTTAGGTCTTGAAAAAAGGTTTGTGGTGCTGCTGTCTGTAACAGCAAAGGCCTTTAGGCAAAGGTTGCACAGTAGCGTATAATGTCGCTTACCGTTTCGTGTGACGCTGTCCCTTGCCCCACTGTAATGTGAAAGTAAGGCTATGAAAGCTACGGGGAGAACAAAAATGCATCGCTACACAAAAACACAAATTACTTATTTTTTTTTAAATTACCTGCAACAAAAAAATGCAGATTAAGTAATTCAATTGTTTTTCTTTTTTTTTTAGCCCAGGCCTAGTGTTAAAAAATGTTTGTATCTCCTTTCCTTTTATTCATTCCTTCCTATCATTGCTTATCACCTTCCCTTTGGCTTCTGTTTCTCTCCTGCATCTGTTCTCCCTGTTTTTATTTTGCTCTTTCTTTTATCGCTTTTCTGTCTCTTTTTTAAATTCCTTACTTTCTTGAGTTCTTCTTTTCCCAGAATGTCCTGCCTTTTCCATTGTTTCCTTTCTTTTATCCTTCTTTATGTCCATTCAGGTGTCCTTCAACCCTTCTTCTGATGTGGCCCTCTCTTCTTGTGTCTGTCCTTCCTACATTAATGATGTCCATTCCTTCATGTATTCTTTTTTTCCCCTGTTCCTCATTTTCTACCCTTTATACCTCTCGATCATCCTGTCTTTCCTTACTTAGTGTCAGTTTTTGTGTTTTTCATACCTTTTGTTCCTTATCCTCCATTTTGTGTTTTTGGGACCCTCCCATCCCAGTGTCCCTTTTTTTTAATTCCTGATTTTTCACTTTCTTCAGTTCTTTCTTGTATCTTTTCATCACTTTCTATTGGCCTTTCATCCTTCCTTCTTCATTATTAAACTTTCTTTCGTTTTAATATTCTGTTATTCTGGGTGTTCTTCCCGGTATTGTTTCTTCTTCCTTGTGTTACTCATTCCAGTCTGTCAGTTGATGTGGTTTATACATGTGCTATGAATAAAGTTGAACTTGTCTGGAAGGGTTCTTATGAATATATTTTTAAAATGGACAAAATGGATTAGAAATCAGGAAATTTGTCTGGATTTTTTATTTATTTACACAAATCACTAAGAATACTATTTATTCTGAACAATAAATCTCTTTTTTCCTGACTGTTTTCTTGGCCTCTAAAAGTTTCTTAGTTTAACAAATAAACTGTAATATACTAACTTGATTTGATTGATTGTAACAATGGAACAAACCACCAATAACATAAATATTTTTGTTCCTGTTCCTCAGTTCGGTGCCGAATCGCTTCACCTTCTCCTGTCCCTACTGCAACTACCAGAACCTCGATCAAGACGGTCTAGTTGAACATTGCACTTCCCAACATGCACGAGATACACGCCAAGTGGTGAGAAATCCATACAGCCCTGAAGATCTTTTATTTTGTTTAGCTTTTTTTTGTCATGACTAATCCAATTTTAATGATTGCTTAATTCCTCTTGCTCCTGTAAGGTGTGTCCCATCTGTGCCTCAATGCCTTGGGGAGATCCCAACTACAGGAGTGCTGACTTTTTCCAGCACCTGAAGATCAGACACACTTTCTCCTATGATACTTTTGTTGTAAGTGAAACATGAGTATACTTTTTATTTTATTTTGAAAAACAACCACTTAGTTGATATTGTTTTCTCTTTAATTTGTTGTGTTCTGTAGGATTACGCCACAGATGAGCACACAATGATTCAGGAGGCTTTACAACGTTCCCTTATGGACAAGTGAAGTGTGAGCAACAAGGTAGCAGCAGAAAGAAGAGGAATGCAACCAAGAGAGCAGGGGATTCTCTTGGAAAGACAAAAAAAACAACAAAAAAACAAACACTGTATCATTAATTAACCTGTTCAGAGGATGGTTGTACTTAATTGCAATGGATAACTATTATTTTAAGGGGATATTGGGTCACATTTTCAAAATCTTAATAACTTGGAATAAAAGAAGTAATGGATTATGATTGAAACACGTTGTACTGTTTGATTTAGGACCGATGCAGTGTTTCCATCCTGATAATCTCTTATCTTCCGCTCTGCTAATTATGTGTTCTTGGTAGTTAGTTTTGCATCTCTTTAATTATGTTTTAGTCACTTATTTAGTAATGACTGTGTGTCATACAACCAAAAACTTCCAAAGTTGTTAAAAAAAAAAAATAATAGGTTTGTCAATACTTGATGTTATGAGAGGTTTTGACCACTAGGTGGCTAGATATCACCAGAAAATGACAAACTTTCTGAAAGTTGTCAGGCTTTAGTAATAAATAATATCTTGGCCAAGAATGGCTAAGCTTTCTGCATTGACAGATAAAAAAAGGGATCCATATGAATCTGCTGTTTATAGTTCAAATGTGTTTTTTTTTTTTGTTTGTTTTTTCTAAGATGTGAATAGAAAATGTTGATAGGGTCAGAGCAAGAGATGGCAGGTCGCTTTATTGTAAGGTTTCACCCTTTGTGTCTTTGTGCCTTCTTGTAAATCCTATTTCTGACTTCCAAAATTAACAGGGCTAATCTAGATCGTCATGGGAATAAAGAGATGCAAAAAGGTCTGCATCAATTGGTTATGTGCATCATTTCTCCTGTTTGTAGCTTTTATTTGCCACTGGGGGGCACCAGAGCACTACCTATCCCTGAGTTCTAGTCGTGATAGTGCTAGATCATCCTAGATTTCATTAGTGTTTTTCACAAGCTTTCCTTTTAAGTGCATTATACAGAAATGTCACAGATATAAAGAAAAATAGGTTTTAGTGAACTAATCTAGTCATAGCTGAAACTGTAATTACAACTTACAAGATTAAAATTACATGGTGGTGAGATAATATAAGTTTATATGTAAGGTGCTGTGATATGTTGCCTGGATAGAAACCTTCGACGACCCAGAATCCTCGGCTTTTTGTATCTCCTCAAAGTTCTTGTTCTTGATATCGACGCCAACCAAATATTGCTTGCATGCAGGGAAAAGAAAAGAACAAAAGCTGGTTTGAGTTTCTTTTTTATTCTTGTTTTTTGAATTAGTTTTGAAAATCTTCGATCAACCACTAAGTAAAACAAATCTTGAAGCAATGCATTTCTCCCTAAGCTACAGACGAATAAATATTCTTACAGCAGATTAAGTAGCCCTCATACAGAACCTCTTTTTGTTTCTAATCTAGTCTTTGATCTCTATTGTGCCTGTTGTGAACCTTGTGTGTCCCCCTCTGAGGCTGTGATGCGTCTGAAATTTTCTGTGTTTCCAATGTGTATTAACTTTTTTTTTTTCATTTTCTAAATGTATCTCATTCTCTTTTATCAGCCCTTCTGTTTGGAAGTGCTCAATTCTGAGAAATTAAAGCTATAATTATTTAAACCTTGGACTCAAATATCCAGTGCAGTGATTTATACCTGTATGCAGAAGCGATATTTACAATCTGTGCTTTACTCTTTACAGTGCTTAACAAAACAAAGCTCTTGAGATATTCCCCATTTTATCCGATTGAAACCACAAACTTCTATTTTCCTCTGGTTTTATGTGACAGACTAGCACAGAGTCCTGAATCAAAACTTTTTAGAATTACCATTTGGAAATGTCTTTATTAGTTTTGTCTAAAACATACCATCTATACTCGAATAATCTATACCCAATATTCTTTGTAAACTTGTTCAGGCTTTATAAACTTAGATTTTTAAGTCTTCCTACAAACATTAATTTAGATCGGGATTATAACAGGGCCACAATAACCAATAAATATGCTTAGCGTTAAGTTTTTACTGTTCAGTTTGTGTAGCAGGGGTGATTATGATGATCAGGCTACGCCTTATAGTCTCTAGTCTTCAGTTTCATCTAACGGGTTTTCTTTTAGGACTAACTAGTATTTTAGTATTTAGTATAGAAAAAGACAATTAGGAGAAATTTATTGATATAATTACTTTGTCTTTGGCGCTCAGACCTCGGCAGGAAACATAGCACTGAAATTTGATACATATGCATAACTTTAATACAGGTTGAGAGAACCTGTCCATGATGAGCAAGCATGAAGCGACAGTGGAGAGGAAAAACTCCCCATTGGGAAGAGTCCGGGAGGAATGACACTCTGATGAAGCTTTAGCTACGAAGGTGGAGGAGGGGCTGGAGGTGGGTTGAAACGGTGTCATCTGAATGAAGTCGCACAGGAGCAGATGGTTGCGTATCAGAGGCCTTTGAAGATGAACTTTGGGTGCCGTAAGCTTTCGTGGAGGTGTGGTTCAAAGCTGATTGGCTGTGTCGCAGGTGGATAAAGGAAAGCAATGAGTTTCTTCAGTTGAACTACTGCCTAGGCTCTATTTAAAGCAGTCAGTAAAGAGAGCTAGTTCTACATCATGATGCTGCTATCATTATGTTTGACTTAGGTGATTGTATATTAGTGGGTTGTGCATTTATTTTTGTGAACCCCAAAAAGTGTTTTACTTGTGAGCTGGTAAGCTCAGTTCGGAGTAAGATGTGCTTCATGATGCACTCACAATAAGTACACACTGGATAATCTAGAGTAACAGACTAAAAGGAACTGAGTAGAAAATGCATCAAACATTTTTTCTGGAGGCTGATATTGGTAAAGCCCTATCTTATTGTTACATCACACTTGTGTGTTTTGAAGTTTTAGGTTATAATAATGCAATGTATGGAAAGGTTCAAAGGTTTGTTTTTTTATTCCCACTGTGTGTTTATGAGAAAAAGGATCTAGATAAATAGTTGGGCGATTTTTTTAACATCAGGATTAACATAGAAACCATTTTAACCAAGATAAAATAGCAGAAATCGGAGCTTTCTACAAACCTTTGTTTTATTTTTAAAAAATGAGGACATCATACGAATAACGATCTTGCAACATGTCTTTGAATGTGACAACTTTCTGATGAAATCCGGGTTCTTTAGTGTACATTGTCCACAGGGAGTGAAACGTCTCACATCTCTTTCCTTTAGAGATTCTTGTTGCTCTAATCACTGCAGCTTAATAATAGTACAGTTTTATTGCTCTACAAAGAACCTTATAAACCTTATGTTTTCTTATCCCCCCCCTGCTCCTATCAGTTTTTTTTGCTCCTGGCAGATAGGAGTGATGTTAGCTGTGAGAGAACTAACGAGATACTCCAGTGCTTCTGGGCAGGAAGGAAGTCGCATTGAAAAACATGGCAGAAAGAAGACTTTCTTGTCTGTTGGGTGGTGGCGCCTAAGAGGGAGAGAGAGCTAAAGGTGGGGAGAGAGAAAAGAAGGAAAAAGCAGAGGGGGGAAAGGAAGAGAAGGGAAAACATTAAATAAAAATTTCATAAAGTTCACTCTGTTGTTTCTTTGATGCGAGCAATAGATGGTGGAGTCTGCAGGCTCTATGGAGGCAGCAATTAATGCTACATGTGCCTGAAGGGATGGCACTGGATTGTTTTGGAATTAGGATACCACGCTATTTTTTTATAAAGACACTTCTCCTCATTTTTGTTTTCTCTGTACTGTGAACATTTGTATCAATGTCTCCTCTGATTGAGGGATTGTTAAAAAAAAATCAGCAGGTTTAGTTCCTGTGACTGGTCATGGTAAACAAATGCTTTATGTTGTTTTAGTTTAACAAAATGTCTCAACAGTTATTATTACAGCTAAGAGGAGGCGCTGTTCTAGTCAGAACAAAATGATGACGTTGTAATTTGTGTATTAGTGTACTTTTACCCTATTTGGAAAGATGAACCTGATAGTTTTAGTCAGATATTTACAGAGACACATTACTGCCAGGTATTTATAATAAATGTTCGTGTATTTACAGTAATTATTCTCTTTTGTGTTTGATTGATCATACAGACTATTGTAAACACATTTTTATGAAGGGAGTTTATTTTAGCAACAGATTTCAATCTAATCTATGTCAGTATTCCGATCTAGGATCAAAACACAGGCTCTGGATATCAAGCAATGTTTTTTTTTTAGTTCTCATTCTAAAATTTCTCCACTCACTTCACCAGAAAAAAACAAAAACAAACACACACACAAAAAAAAAACACAGATCCATTTTAGAAAATCTGTAATATAGAGTCATATTCACTTACACATAAACTAACTGAATCCTAAGTATAATGCAATGTTACTAAGATAATGTTATTATTCCAATTGGTAAAATGTTTTCCTATCTAATGAGAGATTATTGTTTGGATTGAGTTTTTGACATTTTAAAAAATTCTCTCTAATAATTAGATTAATATCTCTTAATTAGGGGAGTCGGGCCTAGAGGTTAGGGCATAGAGCTTGGAATCCTGAGGTTCTAAGCTCAAGCCCCACTCCCACAGACTACCACTCTGGGTCCCTGGCCCACGGTGGCAGCCCACTGCTCCCCAAGGGGATGGTATATTTCTCCAATGTGAGATCAATAAGGTTCAGTTATGTTTATTGTAATTAATTAATATTATCATCTCCATGCTTTTACTTCTGCATATTTTACTTTTTTTTTTAGATTTAGTAGAAAACCTATAAATTAGGAAGTTATGTGTTACTGAATAGCCTTACAGGCTCAGAAGACACATAGTTTTAACTTGGAAACCTCTATATCAAAAGCTTAAAGTGCTGATGAGCATTCTACCATGTTTGTAAATCAAAAATCAATTCCAAAATTTCAATGTAATATTTTCAAGACCACCTGCATAAGAACCGTCTAATAATATGTAAAAAAAAAAAAAAAAAAAAATATATATATTGTTGAATCATGTAGCATTTTACCAGTCTAGCAGTAAATGTGCTCTCAGTTAAGATATTTATCCCTTCCTTTCTGTTCATCATTTCATTTCAACAGGTAAAATGTTTAAGGATGACTACTTTGACATTTTTCAATAAATTAACACATCAAAATTGGCTGCAAAATGGTAAAAATCTGGTAGCGTTAAGCTTATGGAATATGGAATAGCCTTGACCTAAGGAGCAGACAAGACAAGAGACTGTTTTACCTATAAACCCTTGAAAGTTCTCTCTGTTAGTTAGAATCTGAAGTTTTGCTGAGGCAGATATCTGGGATGAGGTGGGGAGAAAGAGAGTAAGAAGAGAGCACTGGGAGTTCGTTCACCGAAATATTCCTCAAAGTCAGGAGAAACAGGAAGAGCGGTGGATCCTGATCCTGGTTACTGCAGTTCTGCAGGTCTGTCCTTTCAAATGTTTGAACAGAAAGTGCCAGTGGGCTTCCCCGACATCAATAGGGGTTCTACACCAACTCATCTTCCGCTCTTAAACTCTTAACAACCCCCCAACCCTCTCCCCCCCGAACACACACACAGACACCAGCCAGGCATGCATACTTCTTGTGCTTTTAGCTGGAGAGCATCTAC